TGTGTCAGTATACAGATAGATCAGAAAAGACAGACCTCAGGCAACACAATGTCAAGATGAAGACAAGAGATCCTGAAAATGAGAAGTCCTATTGGAGACCCTACACTAGGAGAGACAGACAAAGGAACTGTAAATGTTGGTGTAAATTATATGTGAAGACTTAGTGTGTGAGCTGAAAACAGGATTTTTATATAGTGAAAAAGATGTAAATATTTATCTTGAAGAGGGCTTATGCCAGATATAAAAGACTGTTTAGTGTAAATAATGTTAATTTATTTATTTATTTTATGAGTTAATATTTCATGATTGTTAAGTTGTTGTTTTTATATTAAGAGAGTTAAAAGCGGACGATTATTAGAAGTTTATTTGTAAGTTATTGATGTAGAGGCTACGGAGATTTCTAGAACGCCTCAGTGAGAGATATAAATAGCGGCGACCAGACGAGAGACCAGAGAGCGGGAAGAAAGCCAAAAGTAAAGCCGAGTGAAAGAGAGTTTCGGTCAGAGAAAGATTAAAAAAACGTAAAGTTAACGGTCATAGGGGTGAATAGCCTAACGGTTGATATGTCAAAGTGAGATTTACAGTTTTCTGACATTTTAGGAGAATAATTGGTCTCGTCAAAGGGTGTTCTAAAGCAATTGAACTTGCCTGTGTGGACTTTCACAAAAAGCAGACGATTATTTGGAAGTAGGCCTATATGCGAAAAAGCAAACGAGTATCGGAAGTTCACGATGCAACTGTGGTAACTCAACAACAACGCAAGTGAATCATACACTGATACTGTGGTGATAAAGGAAAAGAGAGAGAGAAAGAAGAAAGGAATAAGTGAATTATACACTGATAATGTTTAAGATATAAATAGAAAAAAATAGTTAGGTTTGAATTTTAAAGCAACTGAAATGGCACTAAGTGGACTTTGACAAGAAGAAGAGAACTGTATAGTTTTAAAGATACAGCTATGATATACATAGTTCAAAGAATTTTTGTACATATGTTTAACTTGTTTTAAATATATTATTTTAAAACATTTGGAGTGTGTGTTATTCATTTATCGTTAAATTTATCGTGAACAAGTCACAGACACCTACTGTAGAAGAATCCTTAGCCCAACACACACCTATATCTATATCTTAGTACTACTCAAAAATTAAGTTTTTGACACTATGTTATATCAAAATTATTTTGGAGCCTCATATCATCATTACAGTCCTTGTCGCTACATCCATTTGTGCTCTGTGTGACGCCCATGCATCTTGGCAATAGCCCTATAGCATAGTTTCCATTCGAAAAGGCTCTGTTATAAGATTTTCATGTCCAAAACACATAACTCTGCTCTGCAAGCTTTCCATAATCCATCCGATGCATGAGATGACGGTTTCCTAGTGCTCACATCAACAGTCTCATTGCACATTATGTTCTCCAGCCGCTTGAAATATGTGACAGTTGAATGGTAGGTATGAATGGAATCATTATCTTGGTGAGCCCATACCCCATTGGCCTCGTTTGTGTACAAATCCGGTATTTTAGTCTGGTGTAAAGGTCCAAAACATTAGTATGATAGTAAGCAGAGTTTACCATAACTTTTTTATCCACTCTCCTGATCCCAAACTTGCCTCTGGAGCAGCATTCAACAAGGATCATGAGTCCCTTCAAAAAATGTTTGTCAAATTTTTATAGGGCTGAACAGACTGGTTCAGTTACTTTAGAATCCAATTCACAAGACAAACTATTATTCTCCATTCTGTTATTACAATTTAATCTGCGATTATTGCACTTTAAAAAGTCGCCACTATACACACTTTATGACTAAACTCAAGATTACTTAGTCTAACTTCACTTTTACTTTCATAAATATTTTTGAACTTAATTTCGTCACCTATATACCTACATCACCCGACTGAGGCCTAGAACTTCCTACAAACTATAAGACATTATGATGTAACAATACTCATTTAAAGCAACAAGAAGAATTCCGAAGGTTCGAGTAATGTGATGTCAATTCACAACAATTGAACTACACAACAAACGATTCGTAAACAGTTACATAAGCCAATTATCGTTCTAAAAATACTAAATTTAACACTCGTGCTTTATAACTATCTAAATCATAACTATCGTATTAAACTTAAATGAAACAGTCGTGCGTATCTAACAATGTTAAGAGACATACCATGTACCACTTTTCAAAATTCTTTTCACCTATTGATCAGTAGAAAAGGGCATAAGACTGTCTGTCACTACTCACTGCCAGTTCTTTCCCAGTAGGTACTGTTCGTACAGTTTTCTATAGTTGGTATTCCTTTTCTGGATATGTCGTGGAAGCAGCTTGTATATACGTAAGTTGTGTTTTTCTAGGTGGAGATTCTTCTTCATTATGTTGTGTAGTATTGTCTGGGACACATGGACGTATTTTGCCACTGACTTGTTTGCTCACCTCTTACAAAACATTACATTTTGCTACCCGTGCCTGGGGTTATTACTTGTGGTAGACATCTTTCTGGATGGTCTTTGTGCCCCAAGTTACTTTACTATCCTTTGCTTTACAATCATATTAAGAGCCGGCGTTAGGCAAAATTGTGACCTCTGCGAACTTTATATTCGGCACCCATGCTCCTGTCAAATTCACAAAAGTTGCTAATTGCAATATCGATTTTGGCGCCCCTTGAGGTGAGAGCCATGTGCAGAGGCACACGTCGCCCACCCTCAGGGCTGGTCTTGCTCAAAACTGCCCAATTTTTAGTGACAACATACTGCCTATAGAACGCTAAACAATGCTAAAATGTAGTTCTGATATATTCCGATAAGGAAATAAGGCTCCCCAGAAGGTAAACACGAGAAATACAGATCCCAATACAACCTTCTCCATGTCACTCCCCGGGGAGGGAGGGGTTAAGGGCGCGCGTGAAATTTAGTTGAGATTGGTTAGAAAGTGAAGGCGTGAAAGGTGGATACATAGACAACCCCATTATGTCACTGTCTGGGATGTTCTAAGGGCGCCTTGGAGGTTTGGTAGTGATCAATAGAATAGCACATGGAACACAGCTGTCTCATTCTTTTCGCTATCATGCTATCCTGTAAATGTCGTCTATTTTATTATCTTCTATCTTTACGGCCTTGCTATTCTGTAAACATTTTATGTTTTATTATCCCCTAAGTCTACTGTCTAACTATTCCGTAAACGCTATCTATTTTATTATCTCCTAAGTCTACCGTCTAACTATTCCGTAAACGCTATCTATTTTATTATCCTCTTAGTCTACTTTCCTACTGTCCTGTAAACGTTATCTATTTTATTATCCTCTAAGTCTACTTTCCTACTATCCTGTGAACGCTATCTATTTTATTATTCTCTTAGTCTACTTTCCTGCTGTCCTGTAAACGCTATCTATTTTATTATCTTCTAAGTCTACTTTCCTACTGTCCTGTAAACGCTATCTATTTTATTATCCTCTTAGTCTACTTTCCTGCTGTCCTGTAAACGCTATCTATTTTATTATCCTCTAAGTCTACTTTCTTACTATCCTGTAAACGCTATCTATTTTATTATCCTCTAAGTCTACTTTCTGCTGTCCTGTAAACGCTATCTATTTTATTATCATCTAAGTCTACTTTCCTACTATCCTGTGGACGCTATCTATTTCATTATCCTCTAAGCCTACTGTCCTGTATACGCCATTTGTTTTATTATATTTTAAGTCTACTATCTTACTGTCCTGTAAACGTCATCTGTTTCATTATCCTATAAGTCTACTATTTGAAAGACTCGAGAGTTTCTGCAACTGTCTTATTCTCTATACTATCGTGTTGTCCTGTGACTATCTTATCATTTGCCATTATTTAAAAAAATATATAAATGGCCTACTAGTTTGGATCTTCTAATCTAAATTTACAATCTACTATCATAATATCATATGAGTACTATCCACTTATGAGCTAAGATGTTAAACTATTGTTACGTCTCTGTTTGTTAATTAACTTTCCGTAACTTCGTTTCCGATGAAACTTTAGCGACACAAGTCCTTACTTAATAAAACTGGTTTTTTCTTTCCGAATACAACTTTACGATACACTTAATTTCAATATTCGCGCTAAAACAAACACTATAACGAACGAACGTTAACTTCAACAATACCCTGTGACTGCAGTTCAATTACTCCCAATCTACACACACAATATTGTATTACCGTCACGTTGTCACCCTCTTTTATATACCATACTACCCTATATCTAGTAAATACTAGAGCATTCGCCAAGGTACAGGATAGTTCTAGAAAATAGGTGGCGCCACACCAGTCACGTGATCTCGATGACGCAACAATATATATATATATATAGTTAGTTAGTTTCTTGTATTACTGGTAGCCACATTAATTTAACCTTTGTTATTCATTTGAATGTCTACACAAATCAGAGAACACGTGCAAATTCATGAATTCGTTATTCTAACTTTAAAAAGGGTTTATTTCACTTCATTTTACATATAACTTAAAAATCAAACGACTGTATTTCAAAATACTCGAGTTTCTTTTCTCGCTTGACCCAAACATGCCGTGACTCGGTTCAACTGGAAAAGAACTCGGACTCGAAACCTTGGGAAATCTGAACTCGAAATTTGGGAAACGACTCGGTCTCGAATAATTGTGACACCAGCTTTATCAGCCACTCGTGTTGTTTGATCTGTTTGCCCATTGAAGTCGCAAAATACACAGTATAGCCAAGAGTAGACGATTCAGAAATGTGTTGTCGCAGGTTCTCCTTCCTAGATATATGTTTATGCATTTCTCTTTAAATTTAACACGAACGGAATGAGCATTATTATATTTCAATTACTTTGTGTAACTATGAGTGCCATTTTTTTATATGTAATATATCATTATGATAAAATCATTCGAATTACAATGATTGTATAGATTTAGCAAAACTTTAAACTCTTCAATTTACACACGTCAAAATTCATCATTCCTGATATATAAATATATATTCACACACACGCACAGAAAGAGAAAGGGAGAACGATTTTTTATTTGGCACCACAAATTTGTTCTTAACGCTAATAGTAAACACATTACAATATATTTACACGTCTTATTTACAAATATTTGATTACATGAATATTCACTGTAATTAAATGGAGGGTTGACAAGTTGCTTTGTACCAGTCTGACTACTTTATGAACAATCTTTACGAACGTAAGAAAGCTCTCTCTTCGTCACGATTTTCCATTAGCATGTTATCTCCCTTATATGACTTCACATATAATAAATTAATATCAAATGTTGCATTCCTGTGATATTGATTACAGGAAATGCCAGGTTTGAGTACAAATACTAATCAAATGTCATTTAATTCGTTAGTACAATCAATAAACAGTTTGAATAGCAACAATAGCGATACCAAATAATAATATAAAAACTTTGCTTGTGTAACTCCTATAAGTTTGACAAAAGCAGCTACGTAAACTTCATAAGATCTGTCGGGAGAAGCTTTCAAACACCATTTTAAAGTGAAGTTATATCCACGAACGTGCCGAGAAATCAATTGTTTGTCATCGTAATGTATTCATAGTAATAAAGCTTAATGTCTGCTACAAGGGGCATCAGCAGGAAGAACGAGAAAGGTTGAATCCAACAACGTTTTACTATTGCCGACTACTATTTAATGACCAGAGCTTATTGAGTTTCTTGGAGAATTCTGGAATCATCGAATCTTCTTTTACCGACGGACTTGTTGACAATTTCAACGAAGATACTGGTGGAGAATTCAACAACGTAGTTAGGCTATTCATTAAATGGTTCTGGTGAGCACCATAATCTCTGCTCAAACTTTTCATTACGTTGATGATAACAGATGCCTAAAAAACAGTAAAAAGAAAGCTTAACTCAGTTGTAAATCAATCACCGTTTCCTTTGCAGTATGGAAAAAATAGTTCTCGTAGATATTTTATAAGTCAAAAGTTGCATCTACAAAGTATTCACTAAGAATTAAGAAGAATACTAACATTAACATTGCAGCAACGACTTTATATCATTCGTTAGGCAAGTGTTGCCCAACTTTCTTTGACAAAAAAATAATCTTTGTGATTTGAGCGCACTGTCAATGAAAATTCAGTAGAAATTCTAAACAATTCAAAAAGGTTACAAATAGCTTGAACTTTCGTGGTTTGTGCTATTTTTGTAATGATTACAAATTGTACGTCGTATCTTTGGTTTACCGTTTAGCACATTACATTGAACTTATAATTTTTATTTTTTTAATGTTTATATGGAGCTCATAACAAATATATGTTATCAGTTTTGAGAGGATGCATGTATACTTGTTTAAGTTGTAACCAAAATTAAAGAGTCAATAACATAATATTATTGGCTTGATTTTAAATTAGCCAAACTATAAAGGATTGTTCGTCTTTTTTTTGTTTACATTTTAAAGAAAATTTCATATGAACATACACAATAAATACGACAGTATTTAATTATTATTTTTTGCTTGTCGTGTAAGGGACACGTATAATTTATACTTGAAAGTCTATTTTATATTTACTGCATACGAAAACTTTAAAAACCAAAACAAATGGCATAAAATGCTATCAGTCCACCTTGAAACAGCCGTTATTAAATATTAGGGCCTAGCCCCACCCCAGTGGTTCAGCAGTAAGTCTGAAGGCTTATAAAAATATAACGTTAACAATCGAGTTTTGATAGCTGTGGTGGGCATAGTACAGAAAGCCATTGTGCGGCTTTGCGCTTAAGCCTTAACAACAAACGAACAAACAAAAAATTAGGGCCCAGTCTAGAGAGTAAAAGGGAAACAAATATGATATTATGTATTTTTTATTTTTGCATCGAGATTGTTAAATACATGTACTATTAGTATTATATTTAGTAAAGGCATCGTTTACTCACCTGGTCACTCCATCCTATTCCATATTTCCACTCAGTAACATAATGTTCACAATTCTTTGACAAAAAATCATATGGAACTTCCTTGTTGAGGTACTCGGTAGCTCTCTTGACAACTTGGTTTGGTAGCAAACATTTTAAACCGCGATCTTTGGCTGGGACTATCTTATTGTTGATTCTGACACCATTAAAGCCTGCTACTTGCTCTAACCTAGTTATTTTCACAATTGCATGATCGTTGGAGACGAAGTCTTCATTGTTAGGACCACAAACATGAACAACTGATCCATCACCAACATACATGGCCCAGTGAGCATACACAATCCGATCTATTTCAATAATATCTCCAACTTCGAGGTTTTTTATAGAACCAGCAGGTAAAAATGCTGTTAAACCGTAACGCTCTGTATTGATACATAGTTTTTTAAAATTCTTTGTTTTTTTATGTGGCATAGTATTAACAGTTTTGTTCTTTCGTGGAAACTGTTGTATATGTACGAAACGAGTACTATTAGTATTAACGCTCAAAACAAGATGTTCCAGACTGTTCGATCACGTACACATTGATGCTGCAAATGTTACCGTTCTTCCTGCGCCTGAGTGGAAAATTACAATCAGAAAATCATGTGATAAGCTACATCCAATCATAAGCTGGTAAATATATTGTATGTAGCTTTTTTACTTCTGTTTGAACTAGCGAGATCTATACCAACGGATATGACGTAAGTTTTATCTCTCTAAGCATTCTGGGTACATTTTTGCCAACTTGTAAGAAAGAAAATTCGCGGGTATTGTCGAAGTAGTAAGTAAAATTATTATATAATATGTGTTTTAATAAACGATGTTATTTAGTATGTTACATTATATAAGTACTTTATAGGTATTTAATTTGCTGAAGGACTGTATTATTAACACAAAAACTGTGTGACATTATTTCGGCGGAATTATAAACTTCATATGCATATTATGTGGTTTGTTTAGGCCTAATTTACTTTTCAGCACGCGGAAGTGCTTAACTTAAGCCTTAGCACAATAAACATTGTTTATTTAATTGTAATACTAATAGCCATATTACATTTATTTACTTTGTAATTAATACTAATTATTTTTGATACTCGTAATGCAGTTACATCGTTTTCCAGCAAGTTGACTGATCATTGGCCAGTTATGTATCAATGTCTAGAGTAAATTAGTAAATAAAAACATAAATATACCTGGTTCTTGTGCATGAGTTAATTTACGAAATTGTGTAAGATTAAGTAAAAGTTCTGTATATGTTTATATATTTGGATTAAAAGTGTAATATGTAATATAATGATTTGTGACTACATATACTAGATAATCTTTAAACTTCAAGTTTCAACTTGATTCTTTTGGGAATTGAATGGTGCCATACAGTGATACACAAACAATTTTTTTTTGTGAGAAAATGTGTCATTTAATAAGTACAAAAACATAATTCAGATGTTTTATATGAATTCTCAGAATAACAGTTCACAGATTCAACAAAATGTGCTGAACTTCTACTTACAGATATTGAGTATCAAAAAAATATAGTTTTAACTTAGTCAGTGAATGATAAATTTATGCTACGCCAATGTGTGCAATGAAGGGGAGGTCTTGGGGTGGTAGCTTGAGTCATTCTATTACCATAAATTTAAAATTTGTGCAAAAAATATATATACAAGGAAAAGCTCATTTAGGTAGCTCAATACTGATCTCTTATCTGAACTACTTTTAAAACAATAAGAAATGATCTTACTTATTTTCTGTTATTCAGTCAGTAACAATTATAATATATTAGGAAGACATTTGTAAAGAGTAATATTGGCATAAGTAATGACTTGTTTTGGATGTTGTAATAGCTATACCATAGGCTTAATTAATTTTGATTTAAGTAGCTTTTGTGTCTTTACTAATAATGGACAAATATTATTAAAAAAAAGTAAAATCCTGTCATTTTTTATGTAAAATACACAGGCCCTTTGAGAGTAATTAGTTTTTTTGAAATTTTGGTATTTTTATCTGTAGTATTAGTTTATTAAAACACAACTCTTATTTTATAACTCCTTTATAGTACATTATCGTGCTTACCATTTTCCAAATATGTTATGTAACTACATATCAAAACTATATTTTATGTAATAAAATAAACTGAGGTAAATTTATAAATAATTTTAAAAAACAATGCAAAAATAAAAATGGTATTTATAATATCTTTTGTTTGTTGCTTATTTGATAATTTTTAATTACCTACATAGAGTTTAAATCTGTCAAAATATCATCTTAGTTACACAAAGAAGCTTGATTAAATAGTCTTTTGTATACAAACTATAACCTAATCATTGCTGATAGAGAGGAATGGATAAAAGTTGAATGAGCATGTTAAAGCTCAGATGGGGCACTTTATTAGCACACTCCACTATCATTTCATGCTATAACATTTCTTTTGAACCATTTTTTTAGACCCAAATACAGCTTAGTTACTAAGCTTGATAAATTATAGTAGAATTCTATGATATTGATGTTGTCATTTTTTAGTTATTCAAATGGGTATATAAAACCTAAAAAAAATTTTGTTTAATATCCTCCACGTGAACATTTTTAAAGGCTTAGTGACCTCCGTAAAGCAGCAACTGAGTACAAAGGTTGTAACTAGAAGAGATAATCGTTTGCTTTACTTCGTTATTTACTATTCTGTGTTTTAGGAACAATCACTTTAAGAACGTATTTCAAAATAGTAATAATCAATATACATATATAATGTACGTATAATTGAAATGTGACTGTATTTTACAAAATAATAGTCGACTAAAACACAGCCAAGACAAGTTACTTTTCACAGACCCAAGGTCACCTTCATGTTATTTGATACGGTAACATGAGTTCATGTGAGTCGCGTCATTGTAACTTCTGTATTGTTAGCCAGGCACAGTTAAAAGGTCAATATAATAAATATTAAAATAATGTTATGAGATTTAAGCTATTTCAGCTAAACATTTATGTTTTGTCTTTTAATTTGTCTTCATTCTAGAATGAAAATAGACATAATTTATATTTATTTCCTAATTTTGTATGGTGGTTGCAAGATCTGTCAAATTTACCAAACCCTTATAGAGATTAATTACTGAAAATAACAGATAAAAAATAATTTTTTTTTTCTGATGCACAAACATATTTTTAATCTTAAAATGAAAATTACTTTGCATGACAGATAGACAAGATGTGAAAAAAAAAAAGGCATGAGAGAAACATTGCTTTACAAATCTTGAGACTTAATATTAAAAAATAGATATTTTGCTTATGAAAGCATTGTAATGTTTACTGATAAACTGCCAAATTTCGTTAACATTCACTTACTAATCTAAAAGTCATAGCATGAAAACTATAACAAGCACAAAGTGGTTACGAGATTGGTCCCAGGGACTGAGCCCAGGTTGAAAGAGTTAATCAAAACTCATAGGTAATTGAGTTAATGTCTGAGCTCTGGTATCAATGTATTTTCCTGGGCAATGCTTTTTGGATAACACCAGACTTGGACCACAGAGGGTTTTTTTTCAAGTTTCAGAGATGGTCAGTTTTTTCAAACTAGTCTTCATTTTTTTATAACAACATAATCCTTGAAATGCTCTTTGCTTTCATTCAACATAGAGTCAGGAAGTTATGTCAACCTTTCTCTTGGTGAACTTGAAGCCAATCAACAGCTTATATCTGTTGTTCTTTGATCTTAAAACAGTATACATTTTTATGGAACTGCTTCTTTTTCCAGATTTTATAGGGTGATACAGTGCTTTGAGAGGTCTAACTTTGAAACAATTCTTGTAGATGACACTTGTATATGTCAATCTCTTCTTGTGTCATTGTGTTAGAGCAGCAAAATGTGCATCTTAAAGCTTAAGGTAAGAAACTGATTTCTTACCATTCAGTGGACAGGTTCTACAGATTTTATCCACTTTTAGCTTTTGATGTTTCCTGATCATGGCCCTTACACCTGCCAGTTTTATTTTATTTTATTATTAATGGAGCTATTGCCAGGTGCACAATGGACTGCAATCAGTACTTTTGTAACTTTCCCATAAATGGTTCCTCACTATCTTCTGGAATTCTACATTGCAGCACTACATAAAGCGTAAGGGATGCTTTATTCACATCACAGCTCAGAGAAACAACCTTATTTGATACCGGCCAGTATTATGTCTGAAATTAATTGTCCTAGCTCACCTATAGGGATCTTGGCTTTGTCATTTGCAAAAAATAATCAAGTATTTTCTCATTTCAATTGCTCTGTTTGTCAAATACTTCAGCAATGCAGTGTAGTAGTGGTTGTACTCAAAGGGAGTTTCAAGAGGTTTGGTTTTTTTTAATACCATAGGTTTGTGAATGCCTGCAGATTTACCATCTCTCTCCAGAGGGAAATATGTGTTTTTCACCAAGAAAGCAATGCTGTTTCCTTGTTCGTGAGTGGCTTGTCGAACAGCAGTTTGGATTAGGTGGTCCTGACTTCTGTTTCATTCTGCTTCTGCCTTTTATTCCAGTGTTTTTGTAGGCTTAAGGAGGAGGTTGCAAGCTGTTTAATTTTCTTTGCAACAGTTTTTCAGACTGGAGAACTATTAACATACAGTTTAATCACCAAGCTATACAATGCCTCGCCATGAATATACAAGTCTTTGCTCAGCAGTGGATTAACTTTAGTCTTTTTCCAACTTACATTATTGTACACCATATATTGATCAAGTGTAGGTAGGGCAAACAGTATCTCCTTGTGTCTCTAAACACCATCATTAATAGTTGTGTGATAGTAAAAAAATATACCACAAACTATTGTACAAAATTTGAAATGATGCAAATAATATTCTGAATTTGGGAAAATGACCTTATTTTGGTATTAATACTTGGATTAAGTTAAATGCTGTCAAAGTAGTGTGAGGAGTCATAAATTTAAACAACACTTAAGTCAAATAATTTCTGAAAAATCTAATACTACAAGGTTAAAAGAGATTAATGATTTGTAAATACCTTGTCTTTTCCTTGAAATTATTGGACATGGTAGTGCATAACTATATATAAAGGATTACACTGGATTTTCAAAAGTTGTGGCATTTATGCTAGAACTTGAGAAACATTTGCATCAAAATCAAACAATTATTAATAGATTAAAAAATCATTGAAAACTTGCTACACTTTCTATTCCTACAACTTCAAGTTAGTTATTTACAAAGCAGCTTCCTAAGGCCAAGATAGTATGATTTAAGATCAAGTTGCTCGCTTGAGGCTGATTTTTAATGCAACTTCCAAAAATTTTCTGTTGCTATTACAGCAAAATATTTTTTTGAGGCTTCGTGCATCACTTGGCATGAAGAGGATTAAATAAATAATTATGAGTTTTGTTACATTTCAAAAATATGTAATGAAAGAAAACATTTTTTTTTCCTAGAGATAACATGGTGGTTATTACAAACACTCAATAGCTACTAATGCTGTTGCAGTTAAGTTCACAAAATCTACTTATTCTGAGAAACATTCCAGCTGTTATTTAATCAATACTCACACTTTACAGAGAAAAGAATGCTTAATGCTACCC